TCTTCATCTTCATCTAAATTCAATTAATAACTAACAGGCTTCTGGGTGCCAAAATTGTGGTTCCTGGTTCCACGGTAGACATTCACATTCCCTACGAGAAGTGTCACGCATGTCTCGTGTTCTAACCGAAAAAAGGGCTGCACTGTGAATTGTAATTTTTGTCAATGTTTCACTAGTGCTTAGTTGCCAACAACGGTTAAGCTTATATGCAATGAGCATCAGTTTTCTTTGTGTTTCTACTATGTTTTGCAAGTTGGACTTGATAAGCTGATTTTAATATCAATTATGCGTGATTAATTCGCAATGGCTTAGTGTCCCTGATGGTAGGCGTAACGTCAAGTTGTGTTTGTGGGTTCTAGTCGTTACATGATTATTGGTGTGAAATTTGTGTAGGGAAATACCAATACTACTAAGGCAATACTATTGAGTATTAATAGGTTACATGAACCTATAAGCAAGAGGATATAAACAAAAGGCTTACCGTAGACGATGATGCATCACTTAGCAGTACATATTTACCTCTCTGTACATATCTCAATTCACCAACCCATCAACGTTCTTCTCACTTTATTAGTGATTTCATTCCTAGCAGTTGGGCTACCGAGCTGGAACAAACAACTCTCATCTAGAAGAAATCTGTACACTTCCCATTCTCGGTCATTAGCCGTGTATCTTCCTATTTCAGCCTGAGATAGAAACAAAAGACGACACAGTTCACAGTCAGAATCAGTGATTGTAGGATTGCTTTCCCTGGTTAGTTTTATTTCTTACAGAGAAAATGCAGATTCCAAGCAGTTTTAGTGAAAGGGTAGCGTCATAGAACACTCTTGGCCTGCCTTTCCCTGATAGCTCAACTGGATTAGCAACCAAAAGTTCAGTGTCTGGTCCTCGATTTGTTATCATGACCCGTAAAGGATGAAGCATTTCAACTTTGAGACAAGAACATAATAAATTTTGTTTATCAGGATCCACTATCTTGTTCCCATCTTTCAGCTGAATAAATAGTTCTAGATCCCGATGACCTTGGGTTTGAAGCGAGAACCTGCCATAAGATATCTGCAGAAATAGCATCACAAACTGTGATATCACAAAGAAAGGCAGTGTACTCATATCTTGAAATCTAACAGCATATATAGATGTTGATTCTGCCATTACCTTAATATCAAAGTCTTTCAAGGTTCGTAATGTATCATAGAGAAGACCTCTGTGATCAACACACCGTATTTGGAGTAATGTGTGAGCAGGGCTTAAGGAATTGTCAACAGTGACTGTGGAATTCTTCAGCTTTCTCATATCATCATTAAGAACCTGTACACGATTGTCTTCATCGGTGAGCTGGTCAGACGTAAACAACTTCTCGGCTACTGTTGGAGAAAGAGATGGAATATTCTGATGATATTCATACTCAGGACCAGCCAACTGGAGTTCACAGCTTATACATGACTCTCCTAAGACAGAACGAAACTGCTCAAGTGTCTCGTCTTGACGCTTTTTTGTGTGTAAAAGATCCCTAGCAAAAAATGGTAATCAATACTACCATTCATGCTAGTTTTTCAAAAACTTCAGCAGGAAAGAAGTCTTAAGAGCAGATAGTCTAACTCGCTCACATGTTATCTATTATGAAGAAAAGGTCCAGAACTCTCCCATCCGGCGTTGTAGTCACCTTTACGGTTTGAATTGACAGCTCAAGCTCAGTTAGTACTTTAGTAACATCTGCAAAACAAAATTCTCACACATCCAAGATGACACACACAAGCAAAAAAAGCAATCCATGAGAAGATAATGTCAGTACCGTGTAAGAGTCCCTTCCGGTCTGAGCAAAAGAACTTGAACAAGTAAACAGTTGTTGATGCAGGACAAGAAGACATGAGATTAAACACGAAGTATGTCGAGCAAGAGGGACATACAGAGACAAGTTGGTTCTTCAAATGTGACCATCTCAGTATTAAAGAATCATAATGAGGAACAACCCACAAAACTATATAACACCATACTCCATCCGTTGTAACATCTACACTCAAAACAAGAACAAACAATCAGATTCAATTCATCACTCGAATTCCGAAATCTCAAAAAACCTTAAATCGATCGCTCAAAGTCAAGGAATCTAAGCAATTCACAGAAGAAGAAGTGAATCATTTACGGAAGAATCTGACCTCCTTTGGTTATATAAAGACCGAAATCGAGGATGATTCTGCATACATCACACCCTAAACCGGACCTGTCCGGACAATTAACGGTGATGACATGCGCCTCGCCCGCCTTCTTCGACTTCTCTATCACGACGGCGTCATCGCTTCCCGGGGCTCTCATCCCTCCAGAATCAAGAAATTTTCCGATCAAATTTACGGCGAGAGACCAAGGAAGAGCTTGCTCCAAGCTTCTTCAACTCGATCCTTCTCTTTCTCTCTAGAATATGACTACTCATTTGCTGCTCCAATAATTTTGATTATATCTTTGACCAATAATTTTGATTTTATCTTTGAACATAAATATTGGAACAATCCCATCTAAACCGATCCGGTTATAAGCTCTAAACCAAGAGATTTAAATTTTAAGATTTGATGATTCGTCGTCGTGTTCAAGAGAAACTAGTGAAATTGCAATTAACATCCTCAACATTTTTTGGTTTTTTGAGATTTAACACCAAATTCTAAAGAAAAAAACATAGTAGTAGAATACAATCAAATTATAAAACCCTAGCCGCCGAATCCGTAGAGAGTCCTTCCTTGTCTCTTGAGAGCGTAAACCACATCCATGGCAGTCACCGTCTTCCTCCTTGCGTGCTCTGTGTAAGTGACGGCGTCGCGAATGACGTTCTCCAAAAAGATCTTGAGTACGCCACGTGTCTCNTCGTAGATCAGACCGCTGATACGCTTGACTCCTCCTCTACGAGCCAATCTCCGAATCGCCGGCTTAGTGATTCCTTGGATGTTGTCTCTCAGAACCTTCCTGTGTCGCTTCGCTCCTCCCTTCCCCAAACCCTTTCCTCCCTTTCCTCGACCTGACATTTTTCCAGGAAAATTGAATTTTCTCGAGAGAATAAATAGGTTGAAAGATTAATCTGAGTGTTATTAGATTGATTTGGATTGAGGATTAGAACTGAGTGACGGAGGAGGTCATTTATATGCGAGACGAGAGCCCTTTTAATCTGAGCCCTCAGATCTCTGAGTAGATCTAACGGCTCTAGATATCGATCCTCGTGAACTATGAGATGACACATTGGCCGTTGATTTATTTTAATCGACGGTTTATATTATCGATCCGCGTGATGCCTGCATGTGAAAGTTTATGAGTTTTCATGAAGCGCCCACACGAATAGGGAAAGTAGCGCCAATTTTTTCACCAC